ATAAGACGGTAATGTTCTTCTTTGTTGTTCCAACAAGAGTATACTGTAATTGTATATAATAATAGTAATATGAAATCGAGGTGCTGATATACAGAAGGAGAAACGGAAATAAGTACTGCAAACGAGATACTAAATTATAAAAATATTAAATGTAAACTAAATATAAAACTTAATTCGTAGACTATTTGTAGCTGCGACATTTATCAGTAACGAAACCTTGTTGAGAGCTCAGACTGGTCTTAGGTTTGCGAAAAAATATGTGGCTAGAGGCTAATTAAGTCGGATTTTTGATACCGACCATGGCTACATTTATTGACTTTTCAAAAGCCTTTGACAAGGTAAACCATCAAGGACTTCTGTTGAAACCACGCAGTAAAGGTTTACCAGTAACCCTTATAAGTTGGTTTCGTAGTTATCTGTGAAGGTGACAAATTATGACAGTTGTTGATAGCTTTGAGTCTAACTTAACCGTGGTTACCTGTGGAGTACCACAAGGGTGCATATTAGGACCGCTTTTATTTTTATTGTATATCGATGACCTGTCAAATGATCTTCGATGCACGTGTACATTATTCGCTGATGATGTTTCATTATATGTAACTGACTCAAACATACAGCAAGCTGCTGCTAGTATGAACTTGGGGTTGGCGGTGATCCATAAATGGTCGTGTGACTGGCTCTTACCTATTAACTTTAGTAAATGTTTTCATATGTTCTTTAATAATCGTCACAAGCATGATACTCCTCCATTGTTTATTGGTGGCACGGTTGTTATAAACAGTTGAAAAAGTTGTTAGCGGATTCGGATAATATGTTTTCTCCGAGAATACCATTACACACCAACCGTATAACAGATATACATTTTACGAGACTAAGGACTGGTTTTTCTCAATTAAACAGTGACCTCTTCATACGTAATTTAACTCAAAATGCACTCTGTTCTTGTAGTATGCGAGAGACAACAACGCATTACTTTTTTGTTGGTAAACGATATAGTATTGCACGTGTCAGATTACTGCAACAGCTAAAAGAAATTTTTTTAAACTCTTCAATCACTATCAACCATCTTCTGCTTCGTGATTCCTCTCTACGACAAATATCGCTTACGGACTTGTACGAACTGTACAACGCCGTATGTGAGTTTGTTCATGCCACAGACAGATTTGGGCATACCTGATGATTTACTGTTTGCTATAGTACTATTGTTTCGCTAACCGCACATGTCATCTCCATCTTTCGTTTTATGTTCTTCCTATTTACAGACACTTACTCCACTACATTTTAAATTTCTTTTTAAATTTTATTCATGTTTTTATCTTTTACGTTTTTCATCTTCGATGTTTTTTATCCTGATACATCTCCCTCTTATGAGAATCGTGGACCTATAATGCCGTTTGGCGATTGGTCTACTAATAAACGCGTTTAAACCAACAGAGACAAGAAAATCTAATTATCTTTCATTTGTAGAAGTGAAGTAATTGAGATTATGTCATCCAGGTACTGTTTAATTATGGCCGTTTTATTTTTTACAACACTATGGCTTTGTGCCTGTGTCGCAACACCATTTTGGCGTACAACACCAATTGTTGACACGAAAACATTATTTGATTTAGGTAAGATGAAAATGACGAGATTTCTTCTTCGGAAAAGTTTCACGGTCGAAAAGTGCAAGTTTTTGAATTCTCGACAGTACTTCTCCGACAAATTTTCTCTGAGTGTGCAAGTTCAGCGTTAGTTCGCAATATTCATCTTGCGAGCGTTCTTTATGCTGACAAATCTCTGGTTGACACTATAAACACTTTTCTTTCTAGGTACACTTGGTCGTACATTTCCTATTATTCAAAGTGCTGTCGATTCCTTGACAAGAAAAATTCAATTCGAAATTAAAGTTTACACTGGAATTCTCTATTCGTGTCTGTATTTTGGACGTGTTGGAGATCTGGAAAAAGAAGTGAATGATGCTTTAAATGGTCAAATTAATGGATTCTGTGGACTGAATAAAAATATACGTATGAAATTATTGGATAATGATCAATTAGCCGGTGCAATTACTGGTATACCAACTGGTAGGTGCGAATGTATTTGAGCTTGACTTTGAAAAAAAGAATTAGAACTCTCCAGGTGATCTGTTTACTGTTTAGAGGCACTTCTAAGTAAAAATCGAGAGCGGCATCGAGTCTTTTCAAAAGCTCATATGAAATGCGTCTCTCAAAATTTGGACCTTTGACATTAGAATAAAGTGTTCCTTGTGTAGCCTCTTTCGATCTAAATCGAAGAATTTAATTGCACTGTTTTTAGACTTCAGCTTTTGAGTGTATCTTCTTTCGCTTTCGTATGTCAGAAGCCCGTAGTTTACGTCTTCTGAGAAATCTATTTTATCAGCAAGTTTGCATTCCTCCCGATTTTGCATTCGCTGAAAAAAATTTTGGAATATCTGATCTACGGGTATTTTTTAGAAAATGCGTTCAAATTCTTCAATGTTTCACCTCACACTGTCCTTGCGTCCATACTTTTTGCCGAAAAAACAGATTTTGACAAAAAACGGAGAGATATATTACGGAGGCAAACTTATCTTTGAAGGTTCTATCGATTGAAAGTTCTGCCACTGGCGGACATTTGCCATTCGACAAACATAAGAATCTATCAAACTTTGTACAAAGGACATCTTTTGCTAACATAAACTTCTGTTTCTTTCTTTGTACCACAGAACAAAAAATGACTATCCCATGTTTAATTGGTGTTATTTCTGTTGGTATTTCAACAGCTCTATCAATGTGGAATTGCTGTTGTCGTCCGAACGGTGAAATTGCTGTTTCACTTTTACTCATTTTTTTATTTCGTAAGTATACAGAGAGTCGTTCTTTGTTTTTCTACAATAGATATCTGAAATCACTCTCTACTTTCAGTCTTTGCCGGTCTTATCTCAATGCTCTATTCATTTATTAATGTAGTGATGTTTATGACAATTAATTCCTATTCATCATATGGTTTTATTATTGGACAAATATGTACATTGATTTTAACACTTTGGTCACTATCACATTTTGTTAATTATCAACGTAGACAACGTGAACGACGACAGGATGGGCTTGATTTTATTCAAGTTAAAACATAGAGACAAGAGGAAACGGAGTGAAAGGAGTGTTGTATAAAACTAAATGCATGTTTGCTTGATCGCTTATCCGCAAGAGAAGAAAAATAAAAAGAATGTGCTTAGGAAATCCAATAAAGGCTGAAATTAATATGATGGCGCTTATTCGATATGGAGAACATGAATAACCAGGAAAGAGCCCGCTCACCGTGAAATTTGAAATTGCACAACTTTTTGGAATGTTGAGATATTTACATTTGCAATTTCAAAACTAAAAAAAGGTACTTTCAACCTTGAAAATGCAATATCTCTTTTTTAAGATCTAAAGCCATTTTTTCACATTCTGATATGCAAAATACAGGTTGTAACTTCTTAAAAGGAAAATGTCACAAGTGTATCTTAGCCACTATGTGATTCCAATACGCTTTAGAAAACAGTAAAGCAGCGCTAGCAGTTTCGTACCCAACGTATGCTCACCATCAAAAGACCGACTTTTTAATTTTCTATCGAATGTTATATAATTCATCAAAGAAATATTCCATAGTCACTTTACAATCGAAGAAATACAATTAGCACGCTGTTGGTACAAAAGTCAACTTTCTAACCGCCCCAACGGATCCCTAGATGAGCTTATAGAAAGAGTAAGAGATAGCTATAGTTACTATGAACATGTTCTGTCATTTTACCGAAAAAAAATTGAAAACTTATATTGGGCCCGTTTTCGTAACAAACAGTTACCCGTCGTTTGATTTCAATCAGAGAAACGTAGAAATTTGACAAGTATTACTTGTTTTGTTCTGTCAGTTTTCTCGATAGAGGTAAACGATGTAGTGCATAAAAATCACTTTATGCAATGAAATACCTAATGAATTTCCTAATTCAACAACTATATCAATAATATTTTCTTCTTTTTTAAATGGTATGCCATATATTAATACATCTTTACGTTTATCATATTGTTCGTGATCATTTATCTGTGATTTGATTTCAATTAGCTGTCTTTTAGCTTTGTTTAACTCAAATCATAGAGAATCAATTTATTCTTTTTTTTTTTTTATTTATTTGCCAACACTGGAGACCATTAAGATCCTAACAGTACAAAAAAGAAATTTTTAATTAATTGTAGGTTTTAGATAATAAAAAAAAGAAAAATTGAATACCATAATACAGAGTAATCAATATATCGTAGCAATTAAGCGTTTATCCTCTTTCCGCTTTCACAACCTTACAGCTGTAAGTGTAGAACTATAAAGAATACAGAAGATGTAGATAGATAATGTATTATTAATATTATAAAAACAACAACAAATAAACCAAACGAAAAAATAGTTTTAGAAGGCTTTAGGGAATACACATAATAGTCCTACATCGTTTATACAAAACTTGGGACCGAGTCATTAGAGGCGGTGTCCGCACACCAAATTACACATTTCTCGAGAATAGACTGATGAGCCACAAATCTTTTTGATCTATGTAGACATCTAATTGCCTGTTCCTTAGAAGGCCAAGAACTTCTGTGAAAGTTTAAGACCGCCTGTTCAGAAAGTAGCTCCCCATCTGTAGATTCAGCTAACACCTGCCAATATTTGTCCCAATATTTAAAACACCTATCCTCTAGGGAAACTTCATTGAGCGCATACGAAAAGAAGAAATCTGACCAATGTAGATTGAAAGATACGCGTTTTAAACACGTGTAATAGAAGTGAGCGAGATCTGATCGTTGTTTTGAGGTAAACAGTGGGAATATGGCGAAGAGCCAGGTAAAAATAGGGAGGGCATAGCACAAAAATAATGCTTTTTTTAATTCTGGAGACGTGCTACCATTGATTCTACATCTGACTTTCTTTCCACTTTCCAGGAAATTTTAGTATCTTAAAAAACCAAAAATATATATTGAAAAACCGAGAATGGGTATTTTCTTTTACTTGATATACCGTTTTCGGTTTTCAATCCGAAATAAAAATTTATTTTTAACTTAGCTGGTCTTGAAAACAACAATGAAAAGATGAAAAAACTTTAAATTTGCTTGAGATTTTATCGGGATAATAGTTACTTTACAGGATCGTTTATGATTATAACGAATAACAACATATTCAACTAAAAGATGTGTATCTAGAAAAGAATTTTAAGATAACAATAGACAGCACTGTGTTCAAACTTCAGATACATAGTGCAGAAAATTCTCTTTCTTCGATAAGTCAGAAAAACTGGAACCTATAAAACTCCTGAGACTGAGAATTCTCAGCCTATGATAAGATAATGTAACCAAGTTACGATGAGGTAAGGGAAGGGAGGGGAAGGGAAGGGACAGTATACTCTAAAACAAGCGTCGTGTTCAAAACTCAAAGGGTTCACTAATGGGTTTAGGAAACGTTACTAAACCCATACGAGTATTTGAGTCGTTCTTAAAAACCTCGAAGATTTGTAAAGGATTTATCAGTGTTACTGAACCTCAGGATGTTTTAAACTACGGTTTAACAAAACAATTAAGGTTTTTTTGACGATGGACAGGTTGTGTGAAGCAGGTAAAAAACTCTTGAGATTTTTCTTTGTCTCGAAAAACCAACAGAGTGCTTTGCTAAAGTCATATGGTTTTCCATCCCACCCTGTAGACTTTTTTGAGTTTACTAAACCATGAGGTTTAGCAACCAAGGGTTTCTTACAATGCCAACAAGTATATTATTTTTCATTTAGCCAAAACCTTAGGATGCAGAAGGTTGTTCAGTTCGTATTTTTATCGAAAGAAAGTTTATATGCGATGAACTAAATTAACTATGGAGTTTAATCAGTGAAGCGAACTCGATATCCTCTGTTACGCGGCTTAGTGCACAAGCTTGTCTGGCTATTCTTCTATTATAGTCGAAGTCATTCGCGAACGTCGTTCCTACGATTGAAAAAGTGAAAATGATGTAAGACACGCATAACCCAAAAGTTCCACATTATTTTTACAATAAAATTGATCGCCCTCAAAACCGGAAATGCACATCAATCACTTCAGTTTTTGATGCAGATTCCAAATATGATATTGGTTTTGTAAGGAAACGGAAGTTTGATAGTGAAAACTACAAAATACAAGTGAATTTCCTTGTTTTTTGCTACCTGTTTAGAAAAATTTATTTTCTCAACAATGGAACAATATTTTCCAAACCGATACATACTTTTGTCTACGACCATGTGACAGCTCAAATGAGTAATGAAATGTGGTTCCATCTATTAACCAAAAACAATAGATAGGCTCACAATCAAAACGTAGAGCAGTTTTGGAAAAAACTTTTTCATGCTGACTTACGAGAAAAAATTTCAGAAGTTCCAAAACATGATGAGAGTTCGAAAAATCATTTTTATACTGGTTTTGGGGCTACAGCCAAATTCCAGTATTTTTGCAAATTTTTCTCTTTAGAAGCGTTTTCAAGGGCTAAAACATATATATTCTAGTTCAGCCCGATGAGACCTATCCACCCATGTATAAATTGTCGAAAAAAATAGCGCGGAATTTTTGAATTACGCGCGCCTAACTATATGTACGACAGAGAGAAAGAATAGATAGACACCTACATGTAATAAGCACATAGATATCTTAATAATAATGAGAAAGTGATGATTAACACTGTTTTTTGCTTTTCGTTTTTTTCATCTTATGCGACAAGTTTACAACATACAGTATATTCGTTTTTTTATCTACTTTTCTTGTATGCCTAAAACAGCGTGCGGTATGATAAAAAAATTCTGAGATTTCTGTTTCTAGACTTTTTTTGCCGTTAATACCCATGAAAGAAAGCTGGCAATGAACAAAATAAACTTTAGTTTAAATAAATACATTATATCAATAGTTTTGACTCATTCCTTCTTGTGGATTCAGTCCTATACTGGGCGTATATGAATAGCAATACATTTTAGCACAGAACGTATTTTACTTTATTATTTTTATTTCTTCACCCTCGCTCTAAAAAAGGCACGGACTTTCGTAAAGTAGGTTTCGCTTTTTACAAAGTATAATTTGTGTATAAAATATACTGTGTAGAATCGGTAAGTAAATTAATACGGAGACGTCTATTTTATATACTCCTACGTTCTTCTCCTGCGTCTCTAAGTAGTTCAGGAGATTGATTGAGGGTAAATATTTCACTTTAAATGTATGCTCGTCAATCAGAAGATGTGTCGGCGCCAGGTAAGTGACTGAGGAAACAGTAATGCATGAAAAGTACTCAAAATATAACTTACTTTAACTACTTTTCGTGGTACTACGTACTTCCGTTTGCACTTACTTTGCTTTGAAAGCTCAGGTGTCCCTTGAGTTTGATCCAGTGAGCACGTTTAACCAGAAACTTCTTGATTTCTTCAGGACAAAGTAGTGAATGAAGACAGAATCACTCTGAGCTTTTCGTCTTTTTAAGAGGCTAAGTATGAATGTTCTATCACCTACGTGAGGAAACAATCTAAGACCTCAATAACAACGTGTGAGATGGTTTAGTTTTTCACAAAATTAACGTTAATAATATAAGAGAGACCATTTGCAAATGTCAAAAACCTTCTACTGAACCGTTTTTAAGAGTTTATTACTCGTCATAAAAAATGGTTTAGCAAGGCTTTTTTTGCCGTCCATGATACCTTTTCTCCGAGCATCGCCCAGGAGTGTCAATAAGGAGCTACTGCCACTCCCGGGTGTACCAACACGGAGCTATTGTCACGTTCGAGCGTGTCAACAAGGAGCTATTGACACGAACAGGAGTGTCAACAAGGCGCTATTGCCACTCCCAGGCGTGGGAATACCTCCTTTGTAGTTTTTCTGTAAAAGTAAATATTAATAAAAATATTATATATATAATATTAATAAATATTACTAGTTGAGTAGTGTAGACGTAAAAAGTTCAATTCAACTATTCCAACTATTCAACTATTCAATTATTCAGATGTTAACTCAGTTCCATATTCACTCTCGCCACCACTATCCTCCTGAAGAATCGAATAGTTTCAGTTTTATTCATTTTCAGAAGTGAAGAGTTGAATGAATAGTCGAATAGTTC